TCGTCCTTCCTCCTCTGTGCCCACAGGCAGCCCGGCTATGGCCGCCAGCGCCCTGCGCCCAGGCTGCACTCTACCGCCTAGCGCTAGCCTGTCTCCCTCAGCCGCAGCGCAAGTGCAGCGCTACAATGCATCAGCGTGCCCGCAATGCCTGCATTGGCCAAGATCCCTGCCCACTCACCCTCCCTGCCTATATGCCAGTGTTGCGTGTGGGCGGCCTCCCTTGAGCCTGCGCCTGGGCCCCAGTACCTGTACCCAGGCCCAATGCGGTTGGGGCCCAGGAGATGCAGTTGCGCTCCTTTCATCAAGGCCTGCGGCCAGATTCAGATAGTGGACAGGTTTCCCATTGGCATTTTCGGCCTCTAAATCCAGCATGCATTGTCGGCCTCACGTTTATGTGCCCAAGGCCTAACCAACTCTGGGGCCCTGGGATTTCTGCATTTGCAGAGCTCCGATACTCGGTGCACTCCAACCAACTGGCGTGCTGCAACTGTATGGACCCCACTTCGTGAAATGTTTGCACAGAGGGCTCTTGTTGATTTGCTGGCCCGCCTTCACTTAGGGCGGGCACAACGCTTGCTGGGGCCTTAGCCCAGAACATGTACATCATGGCAAGGCCCCTTCTTGACGGCTCAATCCTCACATTGGCTGTCAACCTGAACCATTTAGCAGGAGATGACAAGATTGTGGCCAGACCGTTTACATTCCACGATCTTATGTCTAACTCCGCCTTTCTCTAGGTCCTGTTATATTCCTTCTCCCCTCCTTCCATTTGATCCTCTCCTGCGTTCATGGTTCAGTGAATCACGGTTCCAGGTTTTGGGGACAAGGTTACTGTATGTATCCTGATACTGCGACAAAGTTACTTGACCATAAGGGTTACTCCACAGGGCCGGGGCTGAGACAAGGTTCTCTGTTGCTTGACCATAAAGGTCTTCAACTCGTAGTTCCTGTCTGAAAACTACACATAAATTCTGTTAGCAACTCAGCGTCTGAAGAGATGCTTGGAGGAATTGCCACAAATTTTTCTTCCCTCCTCTCCCCATGAACCTGCAATTGATACAACAATCAGCTCATTCCTTTTTTTTTTTTTTTTCATCACTCGGGGGCCATGCTAATCTTCTGTATCGTTCCAATTTTAACGGAAGTCTCATCCGTTAAAATAACCAGGTCATTCTCGTTGAAACGGGTCAATGAAGGCCTATGAAATACAAGAGAGCCATGGCAGTTGTGCGACTGTGTGGTGATGTCAACAATGATCATGGTGATGATGGTTGTAAAACTATATGATGACAATGGAAGGCATGGCAGTGACAAGTATAAACCATAGCTGTGATCCGGACACCCGGACAGGAATCCAGACTGTCCGAAGTCCGGCGTCAGGTCCAGGTTTCCGAATCCCGGTCCGGATGGTCGGAAAATGGGGGGTAGTCATTTTTTTGGGGGGGCGGCCCAAGTCGTGTTCTTCTGTTCTCGGCCGCCGTGGAAAAATACAGGGCAATTTTTCAGGTGTGCTGCCTATCGTCCAGACAGGGCTGGAAGGAGGCACTGAGTTTTCTTTTCCCGCCTCCCAGTCCAGTCGTTTCAAAGGAAACAAACCTCTTTTTGGTTGCAGAAGGCCGTTACTGTGCACTTTCAGGTGCACCCGCATCATCCCAGGATAGGACGCTCAGTACATTGCCCTCCAAAACAAGGACTGGAGGACTGTCTGAAAAGAAAACGAAAAACGAAGTCCTATCGGGAACCAAAAAAAGGGAAAACGAAGTCCTATTTTCATCAAGAAAACATCACTTGTCAGAACGGGCGCCTGCATTGACTGTGGGGGCTCACTCCACTACTCTCCAAATGTGGAGAGCGAATCTTTTGCTAGAACATGGAAAGCTACATGGTCATATGTTTTGTCTTTTGTGCATGTGGTGAGCAGTGGAGCGAGGCCGTATGCCCACCCTCCGCTGTACGTGCAAAGGACACCAAAATCTTTTCGTTTTTTTTTTTCTTTTTTTTCTTGTTTTTGGCAGAACAGGGAGATTGTAGCATACTGTAACGTGCAGACCAGAACAAGAACCGACCTCTCCATAGTACAAGATAACACAGCGGAAGACTTAGCTACGAATGATCCGAACAATCAATATTGCAATGCAGCCCTGAACACACATCATCATCATCGTTATCTGGTGTGAAGGGGGTCTGGCGCTTCACACAAGAAGACTGCACCAGCCCCAACCATACACAGACGAAGAAGGAGGGGTTAGACGAAAGAGGAGGGGAAGATGGGAATGTCGTCAACACCAAGTCTCGGTACAGGCCCAAATAGTCCCTCGTCGAAATGTCTGAATCCCAGTGTCCAGTCTGGATCCAATGTCGTCAAGTCTCAAGTCACAACTCTTTCTCTCTCTGTCGTAGTCTGAGAAGTCAGGTGGCGCGAGGGTGAGAAGAGATGGTGGACTTAGAAGAGGAAGAAGAAGAACTCTCTCTCTCTCTTTCTCTCTGTGTCCAGTACTAACCTGTGAAGTTGGCGCCTTGATGCAGGTACCACGAAGATGGAGCTGGAGCGATGGCGCCACAGGTAAGTACCACTGGCCTCCTCTAGTATCTCTCCCAACTCTACTATGTACCACCTATCATAGCGCCCAGCGCTGAAGACTACCTCTATGGCTATGGCCGCCCAGCGCCGAAGACTACAGCTAGCGCTAACTACTACCTATCGCTGAAGACTACTGCAGCGCTCCTCCTGAGTGCTGCGGCCGAATCCTGAAGACTACCAGTGCCTACTGAAACTACCTCCCCGTGACGTGCCTGGGAAGCCCTATGAACTACCCGGGTGCCTCTTGACTGCAGGCGAGCAGTCCAGGAGGCTGCTCTTGCCAATGCCGATCGGAGGCAGGGGCTGCCGCTGCAGCTCCTTCTCAACTCGTGAGGAACAGGCTATTTCTGGCCTGTTCCGCATCCCTGTTTACGTGCCTGAGTCTTAGGGGCGGTTGAAACAATGAGGGCCATTTTCAGGCTGGAAAACCTCTGGGTCTAAAAGACCCAGAAATAGGCTGAAACGGAATGGGGCCTGCATGCCCTCGTTTTTCAGCTTTCAGGCTGAAACGACCGGGGACTGTAAGCCCGAAGTTTTAGGCTTTTAGGCTGAATGTCCGGGACGGGCCTTGCAGGGCCCGTGTGGCTACGAGGTATGCCACACCCCCCCCTCCTTGAAGAACCGAGCTTACCTGCGAGGGCGAAGCTGTCTGTCTGAGGGAGGGACCACAGTCCGGGGGGGAGGGGCTGGTCGTGAAGCTTCATGAGCTAACCTCCGCCTTTCATAATGCGCGTAGATCAGCGGTGCGGATGCTTTCAAATCTGCGCCTGATATCCACCGAGTGTCGTCGCGATCGCATGCTTTGAATGTGACTTTGTACTGCCGCGGCTTGCTGCCGTACTTGAGATCGATGATGACGCGGTCAACTTCCTGATGACCATCCATAGAAGGAGGGTCCTGCGATTGTCGGTCCGGAAAGTCGTCGCTCTTGGCTGGCGTGTATGTTGCCAGC